GGTGGTTGTTGAGGAGGTCACTGCCTCCCTGACCCTGCTCCATCCTGTTTTGATTTCTCCGACCCCGGGACCTTCCAGGGCGCTCTCTGTGACCCCCGTCAGCAGCGTCTCAGTGACAAGCCCAGGTGTACTGAGGCCTCTTCGTGAACCTGAGCAGGGCCCCCTCCCCCTGGAGAACCTGCTGGGTCTGCAATTTCCTGTCCTTCAGTTTGGGGGCAGGAGAGAAAATTCTAGTATGTTCTGGAAGCTGCTTTTCCGATTCTTCCAGTCTGTCTCCCCGAAGCCCCTTCCCTAGGAGTTGGAAGCCCTGATGTCATCCTCTGGCTGTTTTTTTCCTTCTGCTCGTCTCCCTTTGTCTGTCCCCATGTCTTCCTCTCCCCACCGGCTGTCTCTCCCTGGCTCAGTTCTCGACTTCTGCCATCACAGTTCTCAGAGCTCACGCTGGGTCCTCGTTTGTGGCCTTTTCCCTGGTCTGAGTTTCTGTCCCTACTGACTTGTGCTCCTGCTTCTCCCAGCCCTCTCTTCCATGTCGGAGGCTGTTAGAGAATGTCCACTTTGCCTTGGGAATCCGGGCAGGAGAAAACCTCGATCCCACTCACGGCAGGCTAGGGCCAGGTGGCATCACCCTGAGCTCACCAGGCAGGACCTGACCGTGACCCTTACACTGGTGTCAGTCTCTTGCTGGGGCCGGTCAGATTCCTGGCAGGGTCCTCCAGTTTCCCGACTGAGGGCACCTCGTGTTTTCACCCCGAGCCCCCTGCCTGGTTGTCCAGCCACTCTGCTTTGAGATCCTCCGCTCTGTACTAGGGATCAGCGGGCAGCGGCTTGGCGAGTGGGGTAGGGAAGGAGAGGTGGACACCTCATGTCACTGCCCAGAAAGCGTCTGGCTCAGCTTCTTGCTTCGAGCCCCTCCTGCGTCCCACCTCCAGGAGGACCTGCTGGGGCCCATGCCGTGGCGCGGAGGGTTAAGCTGCCGCCTGCAACACAGGCATCTCATATGAATACCAGTTCAAGTCCTGGCTGATCCACTTCTGATCCAGTTCCTTGCTAATGGGAAAGCAGTAGAAGATGGCCCAAGTCCTTGGGCCCCTGCACCCACATGGGAGACCCGGAAGAAGCTCCTGGCTCCTGGCTTCGGATCAGCGTAGCTCTGGCCTTTGTGGTCATTTGGGGAGTGAACCAGCAGATGGAAGACCTCTCTCTCTCTCTCTCTCTCTCTCTCTTTCTCTCTTTCTCTCTTTCTCTCTTTCTCTCTTTCTCTCTGCCTTTTAGATAAATGAATACATCTTTTAAAAAATAAATAAATAAAAGCAGCAGCAGCAGGACGTGGCTGCGCCGGCCCTGCGTGTTGTATGTGAGTTCTTCCCGGGAGACGCAGGTGTCAGCTGTGCCGCCTCTCCTTGTCTGCTCTCTCACTCCTTTCTTCTTTTTTTTTTTTTTTTTTTTTTTTTTTTTTTTTTTTTTTTTGACAGGCAGAGTGGACAGTGAGAGAGAGAGACAGAGAGAAAGGTCTTCCTTTTGCCGTTGGTTCACCCTCCAATGGCTGCCGCGGCTGGCGCGCTGCGGCCAGCGCACCGCGCTGATCCGATGGCAGGAGCCAGGAGCCAGGAGCCAGGTGCTTTTCCTGGTCTCCCATGGGGTGCAGGGCCCAAGCACCTGGGCCATCCTCCACTGCACTCCCTGGCCACAGCAGAGAGCTGGCCTGGAAGAGGGGCAACCGGGACAGAATCCGGCGCCCCGACCGGGACTAGAACCCGGTGTGCCGGCGCCGCTAGGCGGAGGATTAGCCTAGTGAGCCGCGGCGCCGGCTTCCTTTCTTCTTTACATGTGTCATCCCTTCTTGCCATTCTCATGGGATTTCTGGCAGACGTGGAGAGAAATTTGCTGCATGAACTTCCCGTATTCACCCAGAAGTCCTTGTGCTGTTTTCTTTCCAGCCTCTCCCTTCAGGGCTCGCTCTCTCTCTCTCATATACACACACATGCACACATACACAGACACATATGCACACACACACGCACACTAGGACTCGGATACAGTGTCAGAGTATTGGATGCCTGCTTTAAGCTCTGTGTTTCTGAATAACAGATGTCCCTAAGCAGAGACGTAGAACACCCCTAGAATCAAGGGCGGCCATTTGGCCTCACAGGGGAGACTCTGGTGGTGCCACCATGTCCCTTACAAGAGTACTGGGACTGGATTCCCAGCTGCAGCTCCAGACTCCAGCTTCCCGCGCAGGCAGGCCCTAAGGGGCCGCGGTAATGGCTCATGTCCCTGGGTTCCTGCCTGCACCCACATGGGAGACCTGAGTGGAGTCCCTGGCTCTCGGCTTTGGCCAGGCTAAGCCCTGACCATTGCTGGCATGTAGAGAGTGGACCAGTGGGCAGGAGCGCTCTGCTTCGCGAATGGATGCATGAATGAAACCAACTGCCATCACCTATTTGCTGTGACTCTGCAGTTCAGGCATCTTGTTTCTCCGTAGCATCAGTGGGGGTTGCTTGTCTAAGCTGGGGCGTCCACTCCCATGTGGTCAGCAATGGTTCTGGCTGTCGTGTGGGTGCTTAGCTGGGACGATCATTCAGGGTTAGGTTCTTCCCCGGGTGCTGTCCCCACTTGGCTAGGGGGGGACTCCTGGGAAGCTGGGTCCTGGAGGGTGTCCCCAGAACCAGCCCCAGGGTGCACACACGCGTCAGCCTTCCTTCTGTGTCACACCTGCTGCCATCTTGTTGGCCAATGCCAGTCACACAGCCCAGCCCAGTGCCAGGATCCTGCAGAGCCAGGATCCCAGGGGGTGTGGCTTCCTGGGGACCCCAGACTCTCTGCTCCCCTAGAGCCCCGAGATCCTGGGCTGGGGTTTCTCTCTCTGTAACTGACTTGTTCTGTTTCATTCTGAAACTAGGAGTGCCAGGCTCTCCTTGGAGCTAGTTTAATATGGTATCCGCATATAGCAAATATGCCTTCTATTTTTTTAAGATTTCTTTACTTATTTGAAAGGCAGAGTTACAGAGAGAGGGAAAAAGAGAGAGAGAGGTCTTCCATCTGCTGACTCATCCCCCAGATGGCCACAATGGCCTGGGCTGGGCCAGGAGGAAACCAGGAGCCAGGAGCTTCTTCCAGGTCTCCCACGTGGGTGCAGGAGCCTAAGCACTTAAGCCATCTTCTGCTGCTTTTCCCAGGCTATGAGCAGGCAGCTGGATTGGAAGTGGAGCAGCCGGGACTTGAACCCATATAGGGGTGTCGACATTATAGGTGGCAGGATTACCAGCTGTGCCACAGCACTGGCCCCAAATATGCCTTCTAACCGCAAAAATACAGAAGCATTTCCACTTCTGGTGTTTCTAAGTGGAGTGAAAAGATGGAAGCTGGGCCACTTGCCCCTTGCTGTAGGGATTGTGTTCTGAGTTCCTGTAAGACACGGAGAAAGGTCACTCTCTACAGGGTCAGGTTCCTAAATATCCCTTCCAAGGGGAGGGAGGAATGTCGTTAGCTTTAGGCTATGGGAGAGAGGGTAACATTGTGCCCTTTTTTTATGGTTGTTAGAATAGTTGAAAATTAGTGTCTCTAGCACCCGCCTGGATGGCAAAGAATACAGGAGGGTCCTTAGGAGGTTAGCAGAGAGTGCATTCCTTTGACATTCCAAAGGCAATTCTTCTGCTTTTACAATTTATTTATTTGAAAGAGCTTCAGAGAGGGAGGAGAGAGAGAGAGAGAGATCTTCCATCCGCTGGTCCCTCCCCAGGTGGCCACGGCAACAGGCGTTGGGCCAGGCTGAAGCCAGGAGACTGGCACTCCATCCTAGTCTCTGACGTGGGTGGCAGGTGCCGGCGCACTCAGGCCACCTTCCGCTGCCTTCCCAGAGTGTGTGCATTATCAGGAAGCTGGATGGGAAGTGGAGTAGCTGGGTCTCGACCCTGCACTGTGATACGCAGTATAGGCAGTGCACATGGCAGCCTACCCCGCAGGGTCACGAAGCCAGCTTGCCGTTACGGGCGATGCAGGCTTGCCCTGGGCATTTCGTGGGTGCTTTGGCACAGATATGGCTTTGCTTAGGGTTTGTGTTCTGTGTGTTCTACTTCTGGGTTTTTGTTTCCTGTTGTTTGGTTTTGATTCTTCAATTGAGACAGCAGAGGAGATGCTTATACACAGGTTACACTCATCACAACGGACAGCAGAAATACTCCACAGGGTCCCAGGCCCAGGGCAAAGAAGCAGCGGGGATGGAGCGGGTCCATATACCCGAGAAGCAAGATGGGTCTCCCAGAGTGGTCTCAGCCATTGGATGGTGCGATGTTCAAGCCCCATTGAGAAATAACTTCTGGAGGCAGCATGTGGTCCAGTAACTTTCTTTTTTAAAAAAGACTTACTGGGGCCGGCGCTGTGGCATAGCAGGTAAAACTGCTGCCTGCAGCGCCGGCATCCCATGTTGGCGCCGGTTTGAGTCCCAGCTGCTCCACTTCCCATCCAGCTCTCTGCTGTGGCCTGGGAAAGCAGTAGAAGATGGCCCAAGTCTTTGAGCCCCTGCACGTAGAAAAAATATTTATTTATTTATGTATTTGAAAGACGGAGTGACAGAGAAAGAGGGAGAGAGAGATCTTCTATCCACTGGTTCACTCCCTCAAATCCGCAATGGCTGGTGCTGGGCCAGGAGACCAGAACTCCATCCAGGTGTCCCACATGGGTACCAGAGCCCAAGCACTTGGGCCATCTTCCACTGCTTTCCCAGGCTATTAGCAGGGAGCTGGATCGGAAGTGGAGGAGCCAGGACTTGAACCAGCACTGCTACGGGATGCGGCATCACAGACTGCCGCTTAACCCACTGCACCACAATGGTCCACTAACCCTGGGTCCACTAACCTGGCCCAATGACCCTGGCCTCCAGGCTCCCTTGTTTCTTCTCCGTGGGCCCCTGTGGGTGCTCAGGGCAGCAGCTCACTGGCGGCTCTCTAACAGGACGGGGCCCGGAGCTCGGGGACTGATCACCGCGTTCCTTTTGCACACAGGGGTTCTCTACGTGCAGTACGGCGATGAAACCAAGCAGCTCAGGATGCCAAACGAAATCACGAGCGCTGACACGATCCGAGCTCTCTTTGTAAGTGCCTTCCCGCAGCAGCTCACCATGAAGATGCTGGAGTCGCCGAGCGTGGCCATCTACATCAAAGACGAAAGCAGGAACGTCTACTACGAGTTGAACGACGTAAGGTAGGCAGCCGCCTCGCGTCTCTGTCCTTGGGGTGCAGGCCGAGGTGTCCAGGGGTTTCTTACCGGTGTGCATGCATGCAGAGACACATTCTTGCCTGCTAAGTGCCCATGATGGTGCCGGTTTTCCCTGCTGCCCCGTGAAGAGACACAGCAGCCGTTCTCCGAGCAGGCTTTGCGTGTGTGCGTTCACGTCTGGCTTCTCCAAGGGTTTGCGTACGATGACGTGGGCGGGCTGCACCCTTGTCGATCCTGGGGCATTGCCTCTGGAGGTCACGTTGGAAAAGATCTGGTCCAACGTTGGATCTGAAAATTGGGCAGACGGAGGCCCGGAAAGGCAGGAGAGAGATCGGCCAAGGTCACTGAGTTGAGGGCCGTGCTCAGGACGGAACGGCCGCTCCGGGACTCCTTCTGGACATAGACGGAGCCTGTAGCGTGTGGGTCACGATCCTGCCAGGTCGCTGTTCCCCCCTAACAGGTACAAATGAAGCAGTGCACCCTGTATTGCCCTCAGAACAGCGGTTGAAAAGCCACCTCTCTTTCCATTTGTCCTTCCCACTCCCCGGGCCCCGCAGTGGGCTCCATGGACTCTTGGCTATGGCGAGTGGCTTGGGGCCAGTGGCATCCATGCTGGCTGTGGTGGAGCCGTGCCTGGGGCAGAAGGGACCTGTCTGCCCCGCCCCACCGAGCAGCTCACAAAACGGGACTCAACTCCACACAAGCAGGCACTTGCTGGGAGAGCCGCTAAGTATTTCAGAACTCAGAAGATGATCCGGTGACTCACACAGCCCTCTCCTTTTATGGAACAGAAACTCTGCTGCGTGCAAGTTCAGTCTGTGCAGGACCCAGCCCAGCCCCAGACCTGGCCGTCCACCCTCTGGGGCACAAGCCCCTCACTCTATCACAGGGGCAGGGCTTGGGGCTTCCATCATGGCATGAATGGATAGCGCCTCTTACACGTATGCCCCTGGTGCTTAATAAACGGAAGCCGATACGTTTCTCGCAACGATCACGGATGACATAACGCAGGCGTGTGCCAAGTTGCGTGAGTTATTCCGGCTTTCAGAGCAGATGCACACCCTAAGGTGTTGGGGCTGCACCTGCTTCAGTCTCTTCCTGTGCTGAAATATTCATAGGTATCAGAACATTCATGTCTGTTTTGAGCTGAATTATTAATCAGGCTGCCACCAATTTTTTATGTTTATTTATTTATTTTGGGGAACTTACAAAGCGTAAATTTCAATATGAAATAATAGTGCAAAGCAGGCTCACAAGCATGGAATCCCTTGTTATGTTTTCGTACGTGGACTTGGGGGTCCGCACCGTTCATCTTCCACGCCTGTGTTTGCCGTGGGAGGGGCCGAGGGCCTCCGCAAGTCAGTGAGCAGGAAACCAGGCCAGAGAGCAGGTGATGAACTTGAACTCCTGCCTCTCGGCCCTTGCAGGAAGCCTGCACACCACGACATTTTAGAGCTGTGCCCCAGCCTCAAAGCGTGGCTCCTTTGACATTCTCTGGGCTGCTAAGCAGTCCAGCAGGTCCTTCCCAAGGTTTTGTTTGATTTTTTTTTTTTTTTTTTTTTTTTTTTTTTTTTTTTTTTTTTTTTTGCCTAAAATGCCTCAATTACATTGTATGTGGATGGTGGAAGAGATCCTCCCCACCAGCGCTGGGCGAGACAAAGCATGGTGCAGGCTTCAGCCGAAGACGTGGGCTTTAACCCCGAGAGCCCAGAGCCAGGTTGGGTTGTACCACTTCCACATCTGTGCAGCCAGAGCCCCTTGGCTAATTAACATCTGCCTATGGGCTGTGTCGGCCTGTCTGCCTCAAAGACGCCCTCCAGGGAACTGGGGTGGGAGCCCCAGGTTGCGCGGGGGCCACGCACAGTGAGTGCAAGCCCAGGCCCCTGCTGGTAGCTCGCCCCGATGCGCACCTGTCTGCATTTATCATAAACCACCCTCGTGTACTCTGCTCAGAGTCACAGTGAGTCTTTTCACCGTCTTCTCGTCCTCCCTCGAGACCTCAGGGTGAGGTTCTCCGGGTGAGGTTCTCCCGTCTCTAGCGACTCCCACATCCCTGCCTCCGTGCCTCCCCCGCCTGGCTGTTAACCCAGCCCTTCGGGGACACACACGGGCTGTGCGCTGCCCCCTGGAGCTCCTTGAAATCAGGAGCAGCCTTGCAAGCTTGGACTCGTCCTTGCTTCAAAGCCGTGACTGGCGGGGATTTCAAGGCGAGAAACAAGACCAGCCCAGGAATCCTCCGCTTGGCTTACAACAAAAACACCGCCCAGGAATCCTGGCAGTGGCCGCAGCGCCTGAAACTTTAGCTGCACCTGGGGGAAAGGAATTCGTCGTCCTGCCCACGGCTCCCCGGCAGGCGCTTGGACGGAGTCACAGGGCAGTCGGGCCTGGACGGACCCTGGGAGGCAGATCGTGGAGGGAGAGGGACTTTGTAGCTGCCGCAAGGTAGGCTGAGCAAATGCCGGACTCCTGCCTCGGGGTGCAGGGCAGAAGGAGAGCATTTAGCTCCTGCTGTTTACGTCCAGGCGCTCAGCCTGTATGTAGAAAGCTATTTTTAAAAAACTCACCATGCACGGCAAACCAGGGGGCTTTGTAAAGGGATTGGTTTGCATCTTGGAGGAGGCTTTTGGGTCCGAATTGCAGGTACATTTTCTTCCCCTTGCTGGAAGTCTTGGAAGACCCAGAAAAGGGGGCCTTTGTGTGTGTGTGTGCGCGCGCGTTCGTCAGATAGGCAGCAAATGAGGTGTTCAGGTAAAGGAAACAGGGAAGTGCTTAAATATTAACCGAATCGTCGGCCTCAGAGCCCTGCTGTGTTTGTAAAGCCTGAGTTTCCCACGCTCGGGATCCGGGAAGCAGCAGCGGGTGGCGGGATGGAGGACAGATGCTTTCCAAGGACGGGCCGGGAAGCCCAGCGCTGGCTGCCGCGTGGGGGCGGGCAGAGGCCATGGCCGCCATAGTGATTGACGTTTTTGATTCCAGGAATATCCAGGACAGATCGCTCCTCAAGGTGTACAACAAGGACCCTGCACACGTGTTTAATCACACTCCGAAAACCATGAACGGCGACGCGAGGGTGAGTGTTGGCGCCGGGGTTCCAGCGTGGCGGGCTGTGTGTGTTGTGTGGCGCCTGTTGGCTGGCGCTCCTGCTGCCCTGGGGACGCTGGGGACAGCCCTCCTCGGGCCCCGGCCCTCACCCCTCCTCCTGACTCTTTGATGGTTCTTTTTTCCCTCTTGGTGGAGAAATAAGATGTCCGGGTTGTTGGCAGGAAAAGGGGGTTGAAACAGGGCTGGGCGCAGCTGAGTCGGCCTCTGAGCTTGGAGTTGAGTGGAGCCTTGGCTCCCGGGAGGGCCTGAAAATCTTCACCCAAAACGATAATACGAGGGAGGCTCAAGACGTTCGTGGAAGCTGGCGGGCGGGGGCAGAGGCAGGGGCGGGCGTTTAGAGGAGGAGTGGAAATCCTGGATGAGATGCATCACACGCGCAGTGCCTGCGTCCGTTCCTGGCTCTGGCTTCCTGCTGCTGAGGATGCTGGGAGGCCATGGTGAGGGCGCGAGTGCCGGGTTCCCTGGGTTCCCAGCTCCTGGCTTCTGCCCCATCCGCTTCTAGCCCTTGCAGCCCTTTGGGGAGTAAACCGGCACAAGAGGGCGCGCGCGCTCTCTCTCTCTCTCTCTCTCTCTCTCTCTCTCTCTCATATAAACAAATAGACAGATAGAAAAGTTTGTTTTGGCCGGCGCCGCGGCTCACTAGGCTAATCCTCCGCCTTGCGGCGCCGGCACACCAGGTTCTAGTCCCGGTTGGGGCGCCGGATTCTGTCCCAGTTGCCCCTCTTCCAGGCCAGCTCTCTGCTGTGGCCTGGCAGGGCAGTGGAGGATGGCCCAAGTGCTGGGGCCCTGCACCCCATGGGAGACCAGGAGAAGTACCTGGCTCCTGCCATCGGATCAGCGTGGTGCGCCGGCCGTGGCGGCCATTGGAGGGTGAACCAACGGCAAAGGGAAGACCTTTCTCTCTGTCTCTCTCTCTCTCACTATCCACTCTGCCTGTCAAAAAAAAAAAAAAAAGCAAAACCATACAGTTGCTGGGAAAGCTATTAATTCCTTACCTTATTCCTTATTCAGGGCTGTTGGCTCTTATACGATATATAAATGGTATCAATTCTCTGCACCACAAATCTCATATGATTTAGCAGCTAAAATTCTCTCTAGTGTTTTTTTAATAAATACATTTCCATTGTATAGCTTTTTACATTTTTTACTTGAAAGGCAGAGTGACACAGAGAAAAAGAGAGAGAGAGAGAAAGAGAGAGAGAGATCTTCCACCCTCTGATTCACTCTTCAAACGCTCACAGCAGCCAGGGCAAGGCTAGGTCAAAGCCAGGAGCCAGGACCTCCATCTGGGTCTCCCGGGTTGGTGACAAGGACCCAAGTACTTGAGCCATCACCTGCTGCGTGCCCGGGTATGCATTAGCAGGAAGCTGGATTGGAAGCAGAGTTGGGACTCAAACCCGAGTACTACAGTATGGGATGTGGGCGTCCCAAGTGGCAGCTTCACCCACTGTGCCACGATGCCTACTTCTCTCTCTAGACGTAGTTCCTCTCGGGAGATTATCCAGCATCGAAGGCACACTGGGAGGTGTTGAAGGAGAAAGAACAGGCAGACTGCAACTTCCCGTTGGCACATGTTAAGGTCAGGTTCCTGCAGGTGCACTGACAGCACGCACCTGTGGGTTTGGGAGGCGCTGCATCACTCCGAGTGGCTTTTCCTACCGTGCAGGATGCTGGCTTACCCGGGCTGGGGGAGGAATACCAGCGAGGAGGTTCTATTGCCAAAGGAGACCAGGCACCGTCCGCGCCCTGGCGTTGTTGGTCCCTGCAGGGCTGCCTCTGCCTCCCGCCCATGTGGGTGACTCGTGGATTCCTGTTGCATCTGTTTTGCATTAGAATGTGTGTAGCGGTGACGCACAGGCAGACAGCTTTGGTGTCCCTGTTCTAGGGTCTCGCTGGTCTACAGCTGCTGGCAGGGCTGTGTTCTTTCCTGAAGGTCCTGCAGAGAACACGTTGCCTCCCCACCCCTCTGGTTCCTAGAAGTTGCCTGCATGGCCTGGTCCCCAGCTCCTTCCCAGCAAGATGGCATCCCCCGGCCCTGCTGTGAACTGTGGCATCTCTAGTCCTGTCTCTTCTACCTTTGCAAGCATAGTGGTGACACTGGGCTCGCCCCATACTGAAACCCATGGGAGGCCGGCGCCACGGCTCCCTAGGCTAATCCTCTGCCTGCAGCACCGGCACACCGGTTTCTGGTCCCGGTCGGGGTGCCGGATTCTGTCCCGGTTGCTCCTCTTCCAGGCCAGCTCTCTGCTGTGGCCCGGGAGTGCAGTGGAGGATGGCCCAAGTACTTGGGAGGGAAGGAGGGAAGGAGGGAAGGAGGGAAGGAAGGAAGGAAGGAAGGAAGGAAGGAAGGAAGGAAGGAAGGAACCAACCAACCAACCAACCAACCAACCCATGGGAGTGCTGAGCTGTGGCTGTTGAGTTCTGGTCACTTGGGCCTGCTGTCCCTTAAGAGGGGACAGCCTGTGCTTGCCATCCGGCCAGCAGACAGACTTCTGGGTCTGTGATGATGGCCGAGGAAGGAGTAGAAGCAGTTCCAGAACCAGGCCTGCAGTTAGATGCACACCCCCACCCCCACTCACAGATTCCAGCCTCACCTTTTGCTCTGGACGCTGGGATTCTTTCTCCTCTCCCGCTTGGTCGGGCTGCCTTGTGGTGTCCAGAGCTACCCGCAGCCCAGCGGAGCAGGGCAAGGCTCTGTCGTCCCAGACTAAACCAGGCTGCGTGGTGGAGCCAGGGAGTGCCTCCCCTGTGTGTCTGCAGCAGGAGCGAGTGCGGGCGTGGAGGAATCCCAGGTGACTGCTGATGTCACTGCTCTTCCCTCGCCAGCCGCCACAGCCAGCAGGGGCCAGACCGCCCAGCCGCCCCCACACACTCCCCAAGAACCTGCAGAGCCCGAAAAGCATTGCCTGGACCCGTGCAGGCACAGCAGCAGCTACACAGAGCTCTGTGCAGGGGGCGTTTCCTTAAAGAGCGGGAAGGAATCAAACGGGCCAGCCCTGTGCCTAAAGCCGACTCTTGACTCTTGTCCCGGGCGGTGTTAGGGTGGCAGAGGCAGGGCCCAGGAAGCGTGGTTAGCTCTGAGGTTCTGGGCCTCGGAGCTTGTGGGAAATTCACGCTTGGTGGGGGAAAGATGGCGCGTGTTTCCCTGGGTGATTTGCAGTGGGGAGGGGGGGGAAGATCTTCCATTCATTCGTTCACTCCCCAAATGGCCGGGATGGTCAGGGCTGAGCCAGGCACAAGCCCGGAACCAGGATCTCATCCGGGTCTCCCATGTGAGTAGCAGGGACCCAAGGACTTAGGCCATCTTCCACTGCTTTCCCAGGTCCATCAGAGGGAGGGCGCCTGTATGGGATGCTAGTGTTGCAGGCAGTGGCTTAACCTACTATGTCACAGCGCCAGCTCCGCCCAGATTCTTTTTTTTTTTTTTTTTTTTTTTTGACAGGCAGAGTGGATAGTGAGAGAGAGAGAGACAGGGAGAAAGGTCTTCCTTTGCCATTGGTTCACCCTCCAATGGCCGCTGTGGCTGGCGCACCACACTGATCTGAAGCCAGGAGCCAGGTGCTTCTCCTGGTCTCCCATGCGGGTGCAGGGCCTAAGCACCTGGGCCATCCTCCACTGCCCTCCCAGGCCACAGCAGAGAGCTGGCCTGGAAGAAGAGCGACCAGGACAGAATCCGGCACCCCAACTGGGACTAGAACCCGGTGTGCCGGTGCCGCAGGTGGAGGATTAGCCTAGTGAGCTGTGGCGCTGGCCTTCTGCCTCGATTCTTTACATGTGGTGTAGACCACACTGATGGAAGGCCAGCCTGGCTGTGCTGGCCACAGCTCTAATCCTAGCTCTGATCCTTTGGTTCCCCAGGGGTTGAGCTCACCCTACAGAGCAGGTGCTTTGACAGAAATGTCAGACGTACACATGGGAGGCTCTTCATTCCCAGAGCTGCCACATCGGTGCCGCGGCTCTCGGGATGCTGGAGACCCTGTCTTCACGCAGGCTGGTGGCTTTGTCACGGGGGTGGGCCTTCCTCCCCCGCCCCGCCCTGTGCTCTCTGCGATTGATCCCCAGGAACGTCCACCTTGATATTTCGCGCTCCCCTTGCACATCTGTAGTTGGGACGATGACTCCCGGCTTACATTTAGAAGGTGTGCTCCAGAACTGGCCTGCGTCGTAACTCACTTCCTGATACCCAGAGCAGTTGTGCCTCCCAGCCCCATCTCCGTGGAAACTGTCAGTCACCTGCACGCCTCCCTCATCCACCGCCGCCCTTCTCGTGCCCACGGTGTGCCCAGGCTTCCCCGGTGGCAGGGTCGTATGCTTATTAGTGAGCTCTTTTTATCTGATTGCAGATTTAGCTCTGGTGTTCACTAGGATGACTCCTGTTGAAAAATTACTTATTTGAAAGGAAGAGTTAGAGGAAAGGGGGAGGAGGGAGGGAGGGAGGGAGAGAGGGAAGGATTGATCATCCATTTGCTGGTTCACTCCCCAAATGGCCACTTCAGCCGGGACTAGACCAGGCCAAAGTCAGGAGCCAAGAGCTTCTTTGGCTCTCCCATGTGGGTGCAGGGGGCCAAGCACTGGGGCCACCTTCCACTGCTTTCCCAGGTGTGTTAGCAGGTAGGTGGATCAGAAATGGAGCAGTCAAGACTCGAACCCCTGCCCATATGGGTTGCTGGCACTTCAGGCAGCAGCTTAACCTGCTATAGCACAGCGCAGGCCCCTGGATGACTCTTGCCACTGGTTGCCCAGCCCTGGCATCTCTAAAATTCAAGACCCAAGCATGGAACTAAGTAGTTGTCTTGATGTGGCTTCCTGTGGGAACTCTTCCAGGGTTTCCAGTGTGTCCTGTCCTGTTGAGGAAATCATTCCTAATCGTTTTCCCCCAAGCCTGGTGCACCTTCATTCTCTACACTGGGAAAGATGGAGTGGCTGTTATGGGTGTGTGTGTGGTGTGCATATGTGTGTTTGGAGGCA